TTGTTGGGTCCCCCACCGCACCCTTCCAGTTATGTTAGTTGACTATTACTATCTAGCTTCTCCAGCTCTGTCTTTATTGTGATTATGGTGATGTGCAATCCAAGGGTTATTAGAAATCTATGGACTTTAGGAGTTGGTGTTATTTTTATTTATTTATTTTCTGTCTTTTACTTACCATGAGGCAGCCTTTATAATTCTGTCGGGACATAGTCCTTGTCCACTATTTTAACTTAACGTTGGTTTTTGGTTGTAAAATATATTTATTTATTTTATCTCAAGTATTATGGTCTTGTCGGTCATTTGGTTGGTTCATTGTTGAATTGCCATGAAATTCTGCAAAAACATTTGGGTGATGTATCCTCATTATTCTGGTGACTTTGGCTTTATCTTGTTTATGTCACTCTGAGGTTGACATCCTGGTTTTAACTGTGATGCTGATGAAGATTTGGATGGATTCCTATGAAATTTCTCAAAATAGTAATTCCCTTTTTGTTGCTCGGGTACATCTCGTAGACTCCAGGATCTTTTACCTTTTGACCAAAAACCAATGTTAACTTTTAAAATATTAACAATAGCTCTGTCTTTAAGCTACCGTTGATTTACATTAATTACACTAAACTACCAAAAGACCAACCAATGCTCCGTTGTTTTGCGTGTAGATGGCTATAACCAGGCCTCTGCGGGGCCCAGTGGTAACCAAGGTCAAATGATGGGCATGAGTGGAAGGGGAGGACCCACTGGCCCAGAGGGAACAGCAAAAATGGGGACACCATTGATGTCAGAGAATGGAGCCATGGTAATGTATATAGAGAAATAAAGAAATGTTTTTCCAGAAGAAAAGTTTCATTTGGCTTCCAAGAAATTTCTAAAAATGATTTTAAAAAGTAATTGAACATCAGCCAAGCCTTAAAAACATTATACTGGGAAAAATTAAGATTTTACGAGCTTTGTTAAAACTGGAAACCTAACTAACAGTTTCATTCCTCTCTCTCCCTTTGTCTACGTGGTTTATTTCTCTCCCGTTTACTGTTGGATGATGACACTTGGATCAAACTAAACACTGACTGAACCCATTCTTGAAAATCCTGCTCCTTGCATCATTGCTCTTCTGGCCTCTGTTCATGTCTTTGTGGGGGGAAAATTCTCTCATACTTGCAACACAACTTTTATATCAATCCTTCAATGTTCCCACCATTTCTACAACACCAACGTCATGATAACACAGCGAAATGATAGATACCCACAAGGCGGACCCATGGTGGGGCGACCCGATGCTGGCTCTCCAAAGCAGCAGCAGCAGCCGCAGCAGCCAGCACCACTGGGCCCCCAGGCTGGACCAGCTCCAGGATTTGGGAGGGGCAGTCCTGTGGGGGGAGTCTTTGATGGACCAAATAACAAGCGTCGTAGATACTAACCTCTCTTGGTATTCATGGATCTGTGTTAATGAGCCCTAATTATTGTTTTTACAGTTTACAAGCCCGCTACCTTTCCTGGGCATTTATTTTGTAATTGATAAAATTACAGAACATGCTTTTTATTTAAACTTGTCCTCAGTGTTTACTTTTTTGTAGAATATGATTCTTCCGTCTGTGGTCCGAATGAAGCGGGGGGGTTTTCATTGTGGATCCATAGTTCCATAGCATTTTAAGGAATGCTTTTAAGGGTAGGCAGGTTTGCAGTTGTAATGACTTCTATTGTGTGAGATAAACCTTTAAGTTGGTTTAAGGGAATTTTAAAATAAGGTTACAAAAACACAAAGTCAAAGTTCTCAAAAAAATAGTGGTGTTATTCCTGCAATTTGACAGTCAGCACCAACAAATGTTACATCTCCAAAAAGTTGATTCTGTTCATCTGGACGTAGCGTTTTGTGGGAGAAACACTACGAGAAACAGCACATCTGCATCCACTGAAGGAACAGTGGTCTGTTCCTGACCTCCCAACCCATTGTTCCTTCAGTGGGCTGGTTTCAGTCATTATGCAGATGTAGTGTTTATAAGATTGGGGAAACCTGCAGTCAGCTGAGACTGAAGTCACTTGGATGAGTGACGAAACGTTTCTCCCACAAAACGCTACGTCCAGATAAACAGAATCAACGTTTTGGAGATTTACTTCCCTGGATGATTGAGAATGCATCAAGACGTTTTAAAACAAATGTTACAGTTTTAAATAACAAATATTAAGTGAACACAAGAATGTATGATAACATGTTGCCGTCCTCAGTGTGTACCTGTATGCAGGCACAATGAGTAAACGATGATAACTATGGGTAGGAACTGTACAGTATGTACTATAGTATGCTATGGTGATGTTTCACCTACAAAAACAGTTGAATGATGCAGTGATTCAGCAGTGATTATTATTTTTGGTTTGTTTTTTGTTTTTATTCATTACAAGACAGTTATGATGCATCACATTTCTGTTTCTTCACTACACATTTACCTTACAGCACCAAATCAAGACATTGGTATGGGAAGCGATATATTATTATATTGATATATTGTTGGGTCCCCCACCGCACCCTTCCAGTTATGTCAGACACCCGGTAAAAATGTTTGTCTCGAGATGTTAGGAACTGCTTTCAGCTCCTGTTACGTGTTCTGCTATGTTCATTGTAACAAGCTGACGAGCTTTGCCAGCATGGGATTTTGAATATCTCTCCAAGACTGGGTTATCAAGATTAACAAGTGGTAACCTTTTGAAATATTTATAATTTGGCATAGCAAACTGAAACTTAGACTTGTTACTTTAGATTTGAGTCAAATATTGAAGTACAGTATTTAGACAAAAGTACTGGGTAGATTACATCTACAGGAGCTGCTCAGCCATGGGACTACATGCCATGAAACTCCTGGCTTACAGTTTTTGTGCTGATGTTAATGGTAGAGGAGGTCTGGAACTTGGTTGTCAGCAAATGTTCCACACTTTGTATCCATGCAGCCAGTGACCCCGCTCCAAAAAGAAACTGTTGCTAAGTTGCAGTTTTTACTAAATCAGTGGTCCCCAAACCCCGGGCCACAGACCGGTACCGAGCCGCGAGTGTTGAGACTCGGGTGTGAAATTTATGGTCTTCAGGGTTTTTATTGGTTTTTAGTGCTATTTTCTTTTTTATCGTTAACTCTGTTTCCCTGGATCTTTTCCCGTGTGTTATGAACAAATCTTTTTTTGGTACCGGTACTGGTTTTATTTTGTTGTATTTTTCCATGACACCTTAAAGGCCGGTCCGTGAAAATATTGTTGGACATAAACCGGTCCGTGGCCCAATAAAGGTTGGGGACCTGCTAAACGCTTCCTCTTTGCAATAATACCACGTATCATTGTGGTGATATATCAGAGGCAAGATCTTTCACAGGCTGCCTTGTTGCCAGCGTTTAACCCTGTACTTCTGTCCATGCAGTGTATCTCCATGTGACTGTCGGTTGTACTTGCTTTTTCTGACATTTTCCAACCTACAAACCATTAAAGAACACGTGCTAGCATGTTCTCTGAATTTTCACATTGACCTATAGTCAGTATTGGTTTTTGTGGCTACCTGTCAGTGCTATAATGATAAATATCCTAGCAAAGGTAAATTGCTAGGAAGGTAAATTTTTATGTCCTTATAATACTTTTTTTTTTTTTTTCCTTTGTGTTTTGATCGTGGTGTTTCCTTTGTACATTCTTACAATTTTTGAGGAGCTGTTCAGACTAATGGAAAGTGAATGTTTCAGCAGCTTAAATCATCCTGTATTTGATGGTGAAGAGAAATAAAACATTTGTAGGAACTTGTTTCCTTTTAATCAAAGTTTCTTTTTTTTTAAGCACTCCTTACACTTACTTTGTAGTTAAGACTCTATCATGAGTAATGTGTACTGCTTTTAATGAAATTACAGTGGATCTACTTATCCATGAGCACAAATTATGTTGAACAGTGCTGTTGCTTCTTTTCCAGATAGTTTTTGCATAGTGAAGGTCCTCTTCCTGTTGAAGGGAAGTGTGCCTCATCAAGCAGTATCCACACAGTGTGGCAATAAAACACCCAAATCTCTCTTTCCATTAGCAGAGCCCCCTCCAAACCTCTTCCACTATACCTGAAAGAGTGTCAAGCCTCTTGTCCAGCGTCTTTTTGTTTCGTCATTAATTGTCATCCAATTTTCCCCCCCCTTGTTTTTGCCCAGTGTCTTTGTTTCTTTACTTTTCTTGTTCTTTTAACATTTTGGCTCAGAAGTTTTTTGTTTTTTTTCTTTCCAATATATGTTACCACCCATCATTGTGGAGTTGCCTGTTCACTCTTGATTTTGAAAGTATTGTATTGTGGGAAC